GCAGGATTTCCAACACCAGCCTGGAAGGCACCCGGTCATCCCCTTCACCCCAAACCCCAAACTTCAAGAGGCTCTGGAGATGATTCAAGGAAGTTTGACCTTCCATCTGAAACTGTCCACCTACAGTGAAGCCCAGTCTCCAAAGTCCCGGAAACGAGGCTTTAGCGCTTCTCCCTGGACTCAGCAGCACCTGGGAATTTTCAGCCGAGAGAGAGCGCGGCCCCCCAGGGCCCACACCCCATTCACTGAGGTGCGGGTCCCTCCCTGCCGGCTCTGCGGAAGGCCCCTCCATCTTCCATCTGCCGTCTCACCGCCTGCAGTGACACCTCCCCACCACCAGATGGACCTGGATACTCGGCTTCACTCACACACTTTTCAAGTGAATCACCCCAAATTCCGTGAGCAGGGCCACCACGAGGAAGCTCACGTAGAAGAGGTGCAGGCAGAAGCCATAGACTTTGTTCAGCTGGAAGCACTGCAGTGGGACGGAGACCAGGGAAAAGACGAGGCTGAGGCCCAGGGCGCCGGCCAAGACCCACACCAACAGTCCGTCTGGCTCCAGCTGTGGGGGAACAAGGGTGAGAGGCTGGGTCACTGCAGCCAATAGTCACAGGGATGTGTGGGGGCCCCTCGCTAGGGGCCAGTGAAGGACTTTTGGCCCAAAGCTGCAGGGCCTGCCCTGGTGGATGGCATACCCCATCCTGAAGTTCATTGTTTTAAGCCACCTAGTTTGTGGTAATCAGTGATGGCAGCCCCAGGAAACGAATACTAATTATACATAGAACATGAAGTTGTTGAAAAATATAGAGCAATATAGAAGAGTAAAAGGAAGTGAAACTATCCCCACTCCACTTCTTTCCCCTAGATACAGCATCTAACATATATCAAGGACTTAACACTAGCTACTATGCTAGGTGTTTTACGCACCATAACCTTTCATCCTATTATCACCAATCCACAGATGAGGAAACTGAGTCATTACTAAGTGACAGAGCCCAAATGGAAGTCCCAGCTCTTACCCAATACCCTATCTTGCCTCCCCATACAGCGACATAGGTACACTCGTATGTGCGGGTACACATACATATAGACCTGTACATCAAACCCGAAAACAGAAATGGGGTCATACCATTGGTGAGTGTTTAAGAGCGACCTGTGTTTTGCACCCAACAGTACTCTGTGGCTATCCTTCCATGATGACCTTCCGTGGTGCCTGATGTCATACTGAACTATCATATCAGCAAGAGCATTTTCTAAACTCAGCACAAAGCCGGTGGAGTGCAGACACACACACACACACACACACACACAAGGAACAAGAGAAAAGAAATACTCCCCTCAGGGGGCCAACCCTAAAGCCTCATTATCTGGAACTGCCTGAGAATCGATAATGAAAGGAACCTATTAAACCCATGAGGAGTATAAACAAAATTTGCAGAGGGTGTTTATCTTTTAGAAAGCAAACTTTCCAAGCAAGAGTAAGTAGCTATTTGCTTCTGGGCGTGGCCACTGGGAAAGGCCGCCAGCTGACGGCTAATTACAAGTCAGCCACAGAGTCTATTCAAGACCTAGATGCCTCTTGGAGAAAGAGGTGGTGGGGGGGGCTTTGTTCCTCAGTAACAACATCTTTCAGCCTGGGGGGGACATTCCAAGTACCTCCCCCTTGCAGAGCCTTAAAACCATCCCTTAGGCCACGTGCCCTCCCGGTCCTAATCCTTCCCTGGTTTGGTCTCCGCATTCAAGTCCTTCAGAATGGAGATGCTCGGACAAGGGACACAAACCTGTGGCCTTAGGTCAGTCTGCCTTGCTCGGGTTGCTGTCTGCCCTGTGCAATATTTTAAAATAGAAAAAGGTAGGGCTGGCCGAGTGGCGCGATGGTTAAGAACTGGCTTGGGACGCCAGAGGACCCCGGTTCGGATCCCACATATCAGGGCCAGTGACACTACGTCCTCCACAACTAGATTGAAGAACAAAACGACAGCAACTTGTCTGTTCCCCTTCCCCCAACTCCCCAATAAAAATCTTTAAAAAAAAAATAGAAAAAGGTCACCTAGGAATCTTGCTGTTTTCATCTCCAGGAAACCTGGACTCTCTGGCCACATGAGGCCCACCTGAATCGCCTACACATTTTGGTTACCTGCCTGCCGAGCCCTCGAGGTGTCTGTGCTGTCCACCTTGTTAGAACAGTGGTGTTCAAGTGTCCTACCTTCATCAGTCCCCAGGGGGCTTCTCTAAAAATGCGGATTTCCAACCCTTACCCCCTGGAATGCCTGGATCAGGAGGTCTCATGCACCCCCACCGCCCTCCCCTGGAAATTCTCAGGTCCCCTCTGCCCCTCATTGTGTCTCAGAACCTTCTCCCAATCTGTGGGGCTCCCCGCTTCTGGGGCTGTCTTCAACAGATGGCGTCTTCATTCACTTTCCTTGCAGCCCATCCTCTGCGGGCAACGTTGGGATACGGTGTTCAGCCTGACCCTTACCTCATACATGATTATCCAGGAAGCTGGTGGGTGGGGGGCACTGTTATCACCCCCATCTCACGGGTGAGGAAACAGACTCAGAGATGTCCTAACTCACTCAAAGTCAGCAAGAGGCTTCACTGATGGGACCTACCCCCGAATCCAGGGTCTTCCTGCCCCTTCCACCGAAGCTACATTTTTATCCGTCTGTGAATTTGTAAGGAATGTCTTTTTCAACCCTACATGCAAAATATTTTAAAGCTGTTCTACAAGTCAGACTTGTCACAAATTCAGGCAAGTCCTCTTCCAGTATTCAGATGTGAAGGGTCTCCCGTCCAGGGGACCGGATGAGGACAAGAGAGAGCATTATAAGGAACTCCCTTGCAGAAGCACCTGGCCACTCACCTTCACCTCTGCGTGGCCCCTGGAGAGCTGGAGCAGGCAGCCCAGCCCCACGCCCACCAGGATATCTGCAGCCTGGCTAAGGAAGTTCTCTGCAACAACCATCCTATGACCCCGACCACACAGCCCGTTGCCTTTCCTTATGATCTATGTTTCCCCCCGCTCCCCCCAAAACAACCCTACCCGAGGAGGCGCGATCCAGTTTTAGCACCTCTAAGAAGGTGAGTGTCCAGTGTACATTTTGCACTCTACGGATCAAATGAAGTGACAGAAATTCTCGGTACCTGGTAAGCACTCAGTAGATGGAGAAACTGAGGCTCGGTGAGGTGAAGTGACCACCCACAGTCCGTTGGGGGGACTGGTGATGGAGCGTGGGTCAAGGTCACCTCTAGGGGCTGTTTAGGAGTCACTGCTCCAGGCCTAGTTCCCTCTCTCCCACCCCAACTTGAGAGGTCAGGAGAGGCCACAGCCCCCAGGCCAGGGGCAGGGCTCAGTGGATACAAAAGGGCCACTGGGAGTTACAAATGGCAGGCATGCCCGCGTGGTCCCTGCTAATGCTGACTGTCGTGCCAGCTGCCCACTCACAGCTCACTCACAGGCCGTTTCGCTGTGGAGCTTGGGGAGAGCTGCACTTTAAGTGCTTTCA